CGAATCACAGGGATGCAGAATTTTGGGGCCCACAGAGATCTAAGGGGTTATCTAATCCGCCCCCTTATCCTATGGCCAGGTCCTCTGGGGCTATCATGTGGGCCAGATTCACTTTTAATAGGGTTGCCAACTTCCAGGTGGTATCTGGAGATGTCCCGCTGTGTCAGTTGATCTCCAGATGATCAAGATCAGCTCCCCTTGAGAAAATGGCTGGAGGACGGACTCTGTGGCATTATAACCTGCTGAGGTGCATCCCCTCCTTGAACCCCATCTTCCCCAGGCTCCACTCCACAGAACTCCAGGTATTTCCCAACCCAGAGATGGCAAGCCTAAATTTTAACCGGGTTACAGAACTGCAGAGCCAGAGCAGGAAGGAAGACAATATGCTGGACCTCCACTGCCTACAGAATAAAAAATCATGAGGGAGATGATTTCAGAGAACTGAAAGAGATTGGAAATAGAAGGATTGTTGTTCTCCACTGGTGAGAGCTGGTGTGGTGGGGAAATGGGGTAGGCAATGCCACAATGGCATTACATCACTTCTGGGGAAAACCAGGAAGTGACAAATGTCTGCATTAAGAATCACAGGAAATTGCATGGTAAAACTGATGATTCCTAGAGGCAACTGATGCCACTTCCTGGTTTTTGCCAGAAGTGATATAATACTCTTGTACCAACAGAGATTTAATTTTTTTTTTCCTGCTGGCCACCAGAATGGTCAATCCACTAAGTTATTGCATTTTCACTTCTGGTAAACAGGTTCCCCCGTGGGTGCATTGTTTCAAAGCCATACACAGGGTTGCCAACTCTGGCCCAGGAAATTCCTAGGGATTTGGGGGCACTGCCTGTGGAAGAAGGAATTTGGGGAGGGATTTCACCTAGAATTAGGCTTGCCAGCCCCCAGCTCCTGGTGGGGGATCCCCCAATTTCAGGGGCTTCTCCCTGCCGTGGATCAGCTGACCAGCAGGGGAAACCTTGCCCCTAAACAGGGAGGCAATGACATCACCCAGAAGTGATGTCTTTGCATTGGGGATGTCACGCGGGGATGCTCTGATATTTGGGCAAACTTGATGGTTTGAGGATAGGGTGATGTCCCCAATGTGATTATGTCATTTCTGGGTAATGTCATCATGTCAGAGATGTTGTGTGATGTCCCTGCCCACCCCTGGAACACCCCCCATATCCCACCACCGGAGCGAAGTGGGGACCTGGCAACCCTACCTAGAATCTATGGTATACTATAAATTCTGTCCCCTGAAGTTGCCATTTTCTCCAGATGAAGTGATCGTTGTAGTTTGGATATCAGGTGTAGTTCCAGGAGAACTCCAGGCCCCAACTGGACATTGACAACATTATTTGTACCCCATTTCCCCATAGGACAGGAAGCAACCAGTCAGTTATATGAGGGGAAAGTGATTGGGATGACGAGTTCTCCTCCCAAACGGTTTCTCTCAGTTAACTGTAACTCCTCTACTTTGTTTCACAGAATACAATGTAAAAGATAGCCCCATTATCCCCAGCTTCGTGCCCACGGATGTGCTTCATGGCACCCACTTGCTTATTCCCCAAAACATGTCTTCCACAAGACAAACAGCTGGGTTATTCTCTATCTCATTTTATCAGGAAATGTTTCAGAAAACCCAGAACATAAGAACATAAGAGAAGTCATGTTGGAACACGCCAGCGGCCCATCCAGTCCAACACTTTGTGTCACACAGTGGCCAAAAACCAGGTGCCATCAGGTGATCCACCAGTGGGGCCAGAACTCCAGAAGCCCTCCCACTGTTGCCCCCCCAAGCACCAAAAATACAGTACATTACCGCCCCAGACCTCAGAAATATATTCTGGTCTGCAGGAAGCAGCCGTTCAGAAATAGCTGCCCCCATCATAGAATGCTTTTAGAACATCTCAACATTTTGCAAATCCCTTTCTTTTCTAGCGGACAGACCATCCCCAGGGTGACTTACTCAGAAGAAGAGAAGAAAACATGGGGTACAGTCTTCAGAGAGCTGAAGACTCTCTATCCCACCCATGCTTGCTATGAACACAACCACGTCTTCCCTCTCCTGGAGAAATACTGTGGCTACCAAGAAGATAACATTCCCCAGTTGGAAGATGTCTCAAATTTCTTGAGAAGTAAGTAATGGTGTAGATAGGTCAAATGTCTGATATTATTGACAGTTAAACAAGTATAAGGCCAACAGTCGTGATCGTCTGACCCACAATCAAACAGTCACAAGACTTATAAAGAATGCTGTTTATGTATTGCAATCTAAAGACGCCCGAGATCCAGTAGAAACATAGCAACATATTTTGAGCCTGAATGTTAACTGAGATCAGCGTCCTATCTGAACTTAGTATTCTTAAGACTTGTTGTCTAACATTTATGAAACTGAGAGCTTTGGCACCATTATAATATCTCCTGAAGAAGATCCATTGTTTGAAACGTTGTTATGTAATCCGGAGACGACGTTGATTATGTACCTTGGTTCAAGGATTTTCTATTGATTTGTGTATCATGTTGTAGTGCTTTAGATTGCAATACATAAACAGCATTCTTTATAAGTCTTATGACTGTTTGATTGTGGGTCAGACTATCACGACTGTTGGCCTTATACTTGTTTAACTGATTGGGTCATGTTTGTCCAGGGTTTTTTTTATATTATTGACAAGCATACCACAATTATTCATTCTGTATCTGAAGTAGTAGGAAAACTAGTATAGACAAAGAATAATTAGACAAAGAAATAAATACTAAAGAATAAATCAAACAGAACATTATTATAACAAGATTGTAAGATAGATTCATTCTGTATTCAAAGGCTGCACTGGATTTCGCTTACGTCCTGTGGCTGGACTCCTGTCATCTCGGGATTTTCTGGCTGGCTTGGCTTTTAGAGTATTTCATTCTACACAATATATTCGCCATTCGTCAAGACCAATGTACACCCCAGAACCGTAAGTATTTCATCTTAGAAGGGACGCACAGTCAAATTACTGCCAGATATTCAGAAAACTGTACGAGGTCAGCAGAGAGAGCCCAAGACATTGTGGTGTCTGCGGCAGAAAATCCAAATGGTACCCTCCATGGTGGGAAGATATAATAATACATTAATTTATAGTTTGCTGCCATATTGTGACATCCCATAATCTGCTGTTCATGGTGGGACTTAATGATAGGGCCAACCCTGTTGGCTACTATATAATGGTTAATACTTTTTAAAACAGTTGTTCTCCTTTTATTTTCTTAGATCCCATAGAAAATACAGTGTTGGTCTGGTTTTAGGTCCCTCCCCGCTTTCTAGAATAAAAGTTTAATATATGGAGCCAAAAGTTTCACAAGGGAGAGGCTGGGACATGTAAATATTCAATAGTCTGTCTAGATCTTATTTATTTTATTTTATCTTTTGCAATGTATGCACTTCCCTTTTTAAAAAATGAATGTTTTTTACACAAAAAAGATTGTTTATATTCCTTGTCTTACAGAGATGTTTGCCATGAGCTCCTAGGACATGTCCCTCTGTTTGCTGATCCTAGTTTTGCTCAGTTTTCCCAAGTAAGTAAAGCCTTTAAATGATTATGACAAATAATTTCAGAAGATCACTTACAAAATAGACAAAGAGGGCATACAGATGGCTAGATAGGCTCCAAAATGTCCAGATATTATTATCAGAAAAAATAAATTTGGAAATATAATTTATTCTCAGTGCATCCAAAGACATTTTAGGAAATGAATTTATGACAGTTCTACATTTGATTGCAATGCACCATACAACTGACCTTCAGAATTCACTGCCACAGCATGTGATAATGACTAATGGTACAACTGGTTATTACCTATAAAGCCCTATATGGCCAGGGGCCAGCCTACCTGAGGGACCGCCTTGCCCCACATGTTCCCCCAAGAGCACTACAATCGGGGCCCCAAAATTTCTTGGTCATCCCAGGCCCTAAGGATGTCAAACTAAATGTGACCAGGGCCAGGGCTTTTTCGGTGGCGGCTCCTACCTGGTGGAACGAGCTCCAGGGGGAGATCCGGGCCCTGCAGGACCTTGTGCAGTTCCACAGGGCCTGCAAGACGGAGCTCTTCCGCCAGGCTTTTGAGTAGGAGCCGCCCCCCCCCCACTATACCACCACCGTCAAGACATCTTAATGGATGCATTGACAAGGCCTGAGGAAGAACTTAGAAAATACAGAAGATCGGACAAGCCGTTGCCACTGGATATGTACGCTACGGGAGTACCATCTGGAACTGTGGTGATACCATCTTGGATCTAGGATACTAGTAATTGGATAGAGTACTGTGTTTTTAGTACTGATGTTTTTATTATGTTTTTATATGTTCTTATTTATGGCAAGGCTAATGACCTGCCTCTGTTAGCCGCCCTGAGCCCACTGGGGAGGGCGGGATACAAATGTAATAAATAAATAAATAAACTGGGTAACAGAACTGTGTAGGGTTCCTAAGCCTAACAAAAGTGGAACCTGGTGGTGTACAGCACTTTTTTTTTAAGACCAGAGTTTAACAGTGCAGTCCTAAGCAGAGTTACACCCTTCTAAGTCAGTTGAACTCAATGGGCTTAGAAGGGTACAACTCTGTTTAGGAGTGTGCTGGAAAAATCTAGGGGGGGGGGCAATCTTGGCTTCAATCCAAAATACAGCTACCACCTGAATCCAAAGAAGTAAAGCACAGAGAAGAATGCAGGAAGAAGAGAGGGTACAGGTATGAACAGGTGGACTGGTGGGTTTTGTGTAACTTGGAACTGGTTCCAAATTAGGGATGGAGGAGAAGGTATGTAGAAATGCAAAGGATGGAAGCAGCTAGGTGTGAATGATTATGAATTAGAAAGGCAGGTGACTTTAGATAGGAAGCAAAGGCAAGGTAGGGCCTGTAAATGGAACTTGCCTCTTCTATATATTTATTTTGAGTATGTATATGCCGCTTTCTCTGAACACAATCAGGACCCAAGGTGGGTAAAAACAACAAAGACTATACAAATATAATTGTCTATCAAAGCACACACAAAGAAGCCCCTTCATTAAAACGGGTAAGCCAGAGCTCACATCTACAGCCTTCATTCTCCTCTATAATCTCAAGTAAACAGGGCTGCCGAGAGCCACCGTGGGCCCCTGGACAAAGATTCAACCCGAGCCCCTCCACATGACCCTGATCCAAACCAAATATCATAACAAAACAAATCACTTCGCTTGCTGTTACCATGAATCTATAGTAATGAAAGAATCGGCCTGTCTGCCCATCTATTGATTTATTTACTTACTTTATTTATACCCTGCCTTTCTCTCCAGTGGGGACCCAAAGCAGCTTACATCATTCTCCTCTCCTCCACTTTATCCCCACAACAACCCTGTGAGGTGGGTTAGGCTGAGCGTTTGTGACTGGCCCAAGGTCTCCCTGCAAGCTTCCATTGCAGAGTGAGGATTTGAGCCTGGGTTTCCCAAACCCCCGTCCGAGACTTTGACCACTATACCACACTGGCAGGGATAACTCATCAGAGAATAAAACCAGGAGACTCAAAATTGGCCACCTGCTTCAGGATGATTGTGGGAGTTCCAGGGCCAAAATGGAAAGGTGAGAGGAAACCTTGGCTCAGATTAGACAAAACACCACCACCCTGTGCTATTTGCAATGGAAGTGAAGGGTCTGTGTTTGGGGCAGGCATACCTCAGAAAATAACGCTACGTGTTTGAAAACTGCCACCAACCCCAGCATGATGCTGGAAGTTGCAGTGCCAAAAATGAAGGGAACTGGAACACCCTGAACCAGTTTATCTTCATGCCACGCAACATGTAATAAGAGAGCTTTTAAGCAACCTGTCACGAGTCTCTAATACTCAGATCTCCAGCCCGCCATGGAAGGTTGCTGGGTGACAGACTCTCAACCAGAGTTGTTGTGAGGATAAAACAGAGGACAAGAGAACAATGCAACTTTGGGTCTTCTTTGGGGGGGGGGGAGACTGGGGATGGTATTCGTTATAAATCTGATTTTTAATTATATTTAAAAGATTACATGATTTGTCATATAAAAAAGTAGCCTTTACAAAGGGCTCTTAGATCTTCCACCAACACAATAACAATGATCACAACTCAGTGCCTGAAATGGGAGTTCTAACCTGTTCCACCTGTATAACTACTAAAACACGCCAATGCTCCATTACCATTACCATACATTACCATACATTCTTTTGGAGCTGCGGTGGCTCAAGTGGTTAAGATGCTGCACTGCAGGCTGTGGAAGGTCAGTAGTTCAGCAGTTCGAGACCCAGGTGCTGCATGACGGAGTGAGCTCCCATCTCTAGCTCCAGCTCCTGCCAACCTAGCAGTTCGAAAGCAAGAAATTGCAAGTAGATAAATAGGTACCACTTCGGTGGGAAGGTAACAGCGTTCCGTGTGCCTCGCTGTTTAGTCATGCTGGAAACATCTTCAGACAGCGCTGGCTCTTCGGCTTTGAAACGGAGATGAGCACCGCAACCCTAGAGTCGGATTCGACTGGCTTTCGAGCAAGGGAACCTTTACCTTTACCTTTTAAACATTATTTTACTATTTTATTAGATCATGAGAAATATTAACTCCCCCTCCCCGGGTTGCCAGCTCTGGGTTGAGAAATACCTGGAGATTTTGGGGGCTAGAGCCTGAGAAGGATAGTTTGGGGAGGGGACAGACTTCACTTGGGTATAATGCCACAGAGTCCACCTTCCAAAGTGGCCATTTTCTCCAGGTGAACTGAATTTGGCTGCCTGGAGATCAGTTGTAATCCCAGGAGATTCACAAAGAGATTAATTAAAGAGATTAATATTAACAATGGTTCACTCCTGTACTACTATTAAGTACATTCTGTTGCCAGGCAGGATATGGATGAGAAAGACTTGAGACCAAGACTTGAAAATAAAGGGAGGGGGGGCACAGAAAAATTAGGTGGAAGGAGAGAAAAAGTGAACGAGAAAAGTGTGGAAAAGCGGGAGGGAAATTAAGGAAAAGAGAGAGTAAATTCATTTTATCTTGCTGCAACACCCTAACTGCTGCTTTGCAAGATCTGGCTGAGCTGGGTGCAAGAAAAAGAAGTGAGAAAGAGAGAAAATGACCTGCAGGCTTGCAATTACTGTATGAGCCATCAGCCTTGCTGTCTTGCCTTGCTTCACTGCTGGCTTGGTTGATCTGTTTGGCATGATCTCGACTTTGGAGAAAGGCAAGTCTAGGCAATTGTAGAGTACCTTTTACTGTGCTCAGACTTCCCTGCTCCCCTAGCGGTTGCAGCCAGAACTGCATTTTAAAAATAATGGACCCTAGCTTCAAGGTCCCAGATCCCAGATCACCACAGACTGTGACTGCAGCCATGAAATTAAAAGACACCTGCTCCTTGGGAGGAAAGCGATGGCGAACCTAAACAGCATGATAAAAAGTAGAGACATCTCCCTGCCAACAAAAGTCCGCATGGTCAAAGCAATGGTATTCCTAGTAGTCGTGTATGGCTGCGAGAGTTGGACTATAAGGAAGGCCGAGCGCCGAAGAATAGATTATTTTGAACTATGGTGCTGGAGAAGACTCTTGAGAGTCCCTTGGACTGCAAGGAGATCCAATCAGTCAATCCTAAAAGAAATCAACCCGGACTGTTCCCTGGAAGGCCAGATAATGAAACTGAAGCTCAAATACTTTGGCCACCAAATGAGAAGGGAGCACTCACTGGAGAAGACCCTGATGCTGGGAAAGATTGAACGGCAAAGAAGACAGGGACGGCAAAGGATGAGATGGTTAGACAGTGTCATCGATGCAACGAACATGAAATTGAGCAAACTTCAGAGGACAGCGGAAGACAAGAGGGCCTGGCGGGATCTGGTCCATGGGGTCGCGAAGAGTCGGACTCGACTGTGCAACTGAACAACAACAAAAAGCTTCAAGGGCCCAGGTTACTTCCAGGTGACATAGGCACATCGCACTACATTGCTGTTGGGGGGCGGGTGGCAGCCAGGAACTGACAAAACTGGGCAATCCCCCCCCAACTGGGGAATGGCAACCCTAATACTGACCTTGATGCATCAATGGTCAATATAAGGCAGCTTCATGCGGAACTGGCTTTTGTGATTAATATGCTCTTGGATAGACAAGTAACCTGATCAAGTTAAACTCTCCTGTCTGTTCACAACCACTTTTGCAGTTAGTGCCAGAAAGAGCCAAGATACAAACAGTCATGAATCAGAAATGCAGTTATATTTCAGAATTTTATAATTTGAATCTTTTAATTTAGAAATATAATTTTACCTTTTTAAAGATATCAAATCTTAAATATGTATTTTACAGGTTTTCTCCGTAACATTCATATGGTTAATATAATTGATAATCAGAAATGTTGGGGAAAGTGATACAATAGAACATAAATGTAAATATTTGCAAAAACAAAAAATAATTGGGAAGAGAATTTGGTTGACATGTTCCCTTGAAATTCTTTTTAGTGCTAATGCCAAAGTAAACATAAACCAAAAAAAACCCCTGAATAATGTCCTTTTTTATTTGTTTGTTTGTTCAAACAGGAAATTGGATTGGCTTCCCTGGGAGCACCAGATGAATTCATCGAGAAACTTGCTACGGTAGCTCTAGAATTTTATTGGGATTTTCAATATGGCCCGGCACTGATGGACTTTGAAGGGTGCAACTGTTTTTAGGGTGGCACTGTAGAGTACATAAATAACACTGGAAGATGGGCCATTGCTCTACAATTTCATCATTTGTTTGTCTTGCTCAGCATAAGATCACCAGGACTTTATGCACAGATACAACTAATGTTTGTACTTTATCTTACCTCAGGTTTACTGGTTTACAGTGGAATTTGGACTGTGTAAAGAAGGCAGTGACATAAAGGCCTACGGGGCTGGGCTGCTGTCATCATTCGGTGAATTGCAGGTATGGACCCATTGCTGTTATTCTTAATTCTGCAAAGCAGTTTGATTGTTTTTTAAAACAATAAAAATTAGGTGGTAATTCCATTTATAAGGTTGCAATTTATATGCATCATAGGGTTTTAACAGTAACTGTGATGGTCAACAAATCACAGATTGCTGTATAACTGGTGGCTGTGAATGTGAACTTTGAGCTGGAAGTCAGCCATTTATGAGCCACAAGCAAGCCACTATCTCTCAGTCCTCCCCCACCTGTTACACTGAGATGATAATACTGACCATCCTTATAGAGTTCCTGTTGCTGCTGCTGCTGCTGCGTTATTTACAGACTCTATACTCTCCCTTTCTGCCTTCATCAGGGCCACCAAGGCAGCTAACAATAACACAATTTAAATAATTAAAACCAAGTTAAAATGCACATAAAATAAAATACACATTCATAAAAAGGACAACTAGTGACACGGCAGGAAGGAGGGATCACAGAGAAAACGCCAGATGAAACAAAGAGGCACAAGACAGCAGTGAAGGGGACAGGCGAGCCTCCCTGGAGAGAGAGTTCCAGAATCTGAGTGCCATGACTGAGGAGGACCTCTCCTGGGTTGCCACCTGCCTCATCTCAGAAGGTGGGGGCTACGAAAGCTAGGAGGATGAACGTAGTGGTTGGGCAGCAGTTCCTAGTCGCAAGCCATGTAGGGCTTAAAAGGTCAATAGAAACACCTTGAATTATGCCCAGAAACAGACTGGGAGCTTGTGTAGATATGGTCCCTATGACACAGTACAGGTTGTTGAAAGGAGTGTGAATTTTAAAAGATGGCAATGAGCAGGGACCACTTAAGAACAACACTATGGAAGTACTCAGTATTGGCTTTATAACCAGTCTGGGAGAGGAGATACCATTGCCCTTCTGTCAGAGAGATCAGACTGGATCAACCATTATGCTAAATAATTTGTAGAACAATGTCCCTGCTACAACATAGTTATCTGTCCTGATGAAGAAAGAGTCAGCATCAAACAGTCTGTACTTTGCACCTTAAAAATGCGTAGTAATCTGGATACCCAATTCACTGTGAGCTGGCTGTGTTCTCAACTGGAAAAATATTTTGATAGACCGGCAACATCAAGAGCACAGTGAATGCTATAGACTGAGCCAAATATGGATCTGGGTATGCAGGAAGCTCTGTTTATGTGGCAAAGGAGAAAGCATGACTTATGGGCCCAAATGATGTGATATCTTGAAATATACTCAGAAGGGCTCTTAGCCATCCCTATTAGGAGTCCTGGTTGGGTTCAAATCCCAGCTCCACCTGGACTGGTATTAGGTGCTTTGGACAAAATCACTGTCCCATAGTTCATGTGTATAAAATAGAAAAGATAATGGCCTATAAGCCACAGGTCTGTTGGACAGATGAATGAGGCAAGGATACGTTTTCCGTGGCTGGGATCCTAACTTATGTGAGCACTGGGGGTTTCCAGTCTTCAAGAATAGGGTAAGGTAAGGTTGCCAAGCTCCAACTCAGGCGAGGGAATCTCCTGGAATTATCACTGATCTCCATACAACAGAGATCAGTTCTGCTTAGAAAAATGGCTGCTTTGGAGGGTGGAATCTATGGCATCATACCTTGGTGAGGTCCTGCCCCTCTCCAAACCCCACCCTCCCCAGTCTCCACCCCCCCCCCAGATCTCCAGGAATTTCCCAAGCAGAGTTGGCAACCCTAGGTGGGGGATCCCGGAATTACATCTGATCTGCAGCTACATAGATCAGTTCTCCTGGAGGAACCAGCAGCTTCAGAGGGCAGACTGCACGGCATCATATCCCTGGTGAACTCCCTCCCCTCCCCAAACTCCACCCACCCCACGCACCACCGCCAGATCTCCGGGAATTTCCCAAGTCAGAGTTGGCAACCCTGGTGGACATAGCAGCATGCATGGAAAAGAGTTTCCTAACCTTCCCTCTCCTTCTGGAACGTGCCATGTCCCCCAACATTTTTTACCTCGGGGGAGGGGGTCACTGAAGGTTTGAAATAGCATGGGAGGTGAAGTAGGAGTGTTCCCTCTAAGCTGAGTTGGTGTGAGCTAGCTCACTGTTCTTTAGCCTCTAGCTCACACATTTTTGTCTTCACTCAGGAAGGACGGCTCCAGAGCAAACTAATTTTTGCAGTAGCCAAATTGCTCGCTCACAGCTTTAATGCCAGTGGCTCACAAAGTAGAATTTTTGCTCACAAGACTCCGCAGCTTAGAGGGAACATTGCTCCCTTCCATGGACAGAAGTGGAAACGGAGGCTAGGCTCTACGCTCAGACCTCTGTCCTGTCACTCCATTCTAGCAGGGGAAGATCTTTGAGTGGAAGTAGCCTTAGGCACACACAGCCAACGCAGACATGTTTCTGGATATGTGACTACATCATCACATTGATCTTGGCCCCACTGAACTGGATGAATGCATCGTTTGATCAAAACCTCTCTGTCTTTCCCCTTCAGTATTGTTTGTCAGATAAACCTGCCATTGAGCCTCTCACCCTGGAGAAGACAGCAGTCCGGAAGTATCCTGTGACCGAATTCCAGCCCATTTACTATGTTGCTGAAAGTTTTAATGATGCAAAGCAAAAGTTAAGGTAACAAATCTCTCCCTGTTAGTGGAGGTCCTTTTAAATGTTCACCCTGCAGGAAGGGACACAGAGCAGAGCTGAATCCTGACATTCTCCTACAGTTTATCCAGGCTGAAATTAAATACAAGGAACAGCCTGAAAAAATGTATGAGGAAAGAAGTCTTGGAGCAACCCCAAATTCACCTTCCATCCCAAATGGATGAAGGAACACTGGCGGTCAGTACCTGTAGTTTCACCCATGGTTCTCATTCTCTGTGAAGCGTCAATGGCTGAGATGGGGAATTAATTTTATTATATATAAATACAATTATGGAACATGGGTGCCATCATTAAGCTCTAGTGTAATTGCTCTACAAATCTGTCTGATTTAATGTGGTATCTCCACAAGAGTGTACAAGAAATAGTATACAACCAGATAGAAATACAAATATATACATATTGATGTAAAATTCATGGCTTTTAAAATCCATTTTGGGCATCCAGCTATAACCACTGGCAATTTAAAATGGCATCTGAAAATGTCTGAAATCTTTCCCCAAGGCCTGTGCTTTGCATGCAGAAGGTCCCAGGTTCAATCCCCGGCATCTCTGGTTAAAAGGACCAGGCAGTCGGTGATGTGAAAGACCTCACCTGAGACCCTGGAGAGCCACTGCCCGCCTGAGTAGACACTACTGACCTTGATGGACCAAGGGTCTGAGTCAGTATAAGGCAAATTCATCATGTGTTCATGTACCTTGAAACCCTGGAGTCTACCCTGCGGTGTTGTCGTGTGCACACCTTGAGACATCAGCTCATGCTGTGCCCCACCTCTACAAGTGTGGGTTGGGAAACTTTGAGCTGCAGTGCAAGTGCTGTGCTGCAATCTGTACACACAAGGGAGAACTACGAGCACATCTGGGAGAACTATGAGCACATCTGGAGGAACCTTTGGAAATCCTGCACTTGCACGGTCAAATGGGCAAGCCACTCTTCAGTGAGATTGGATCTGTCCAAGGAAATAAAATTAATGATGATCCATAGATTAACAGTGCAACCCTACAAAAATTGTTGGTAGTGAACCCTGTTGAACAGACCTGCTTAATATTGCTCTCTAAGACCTTCTAGGCCACTCTCAAAGATATCACAGGATCTGGCAAATGTTTTAGCTGTCTGTTCAGTGTATCATTTATTTTCCGAAGCTGTCTACCTTTTACCTTTTACGCTGTTTGTGAAGGTTGCCATCATTAAAGGACAATGTTCTTAAACACACATTTGGATGCATTTGAAGTTTCTGTTTTCTCCTTCAGGAAATATGCTTCCACAATTCCTCGTCCATTCTCAGTCCGCTACAACCCATATACCCAAAGGATTGAGGTCCTGGACAATGCAAAACAGCTGAAGAATTTAGCTGATTCCATCAGCAGTAAGTAGTTGTATTTGCCGTTTTATTCCCCCTTCAAATAAATGCCCAAATCTAGATGCACTTCAGCATTCATAGAGGCCTCTTGGGTCACTGTATTCATTCAAGTGAAGTCAAATGAATGTGCATTTGCTTTCTATGCACTTTGGAGTTTCTGACATCATAGGAAATAAATAGTGCAACTAATCAAAAGAAATTCTCTCCATCCCAGTTAAAAAAAACAGGTATATTCTTTGTTCAGCAGAATCAGCTCACCTATACATTTCTTTGGAGTATACCATTTTCTCCAGTTGATTGTCAGTCTGAATTATTTTTTCGTAAATAATGGGCTGATTCACACCATCAGGTGATGACCTGCTTCTTGCAGAGAACAAGTATAAAGAAAACAGTTGTGAGTGTCTGACCCACAAATCACACAGTCAGCAAGACTGGCAAAGAAAATGCTTACTATGTATTACAATCTGAAGCACTACAACACAATAAATCAATACCTACAAATCATAAGAAAATCCTAGTGCAAAGAGACATCATCAACGTTCTCTCCGGATTAAATAACAACGTTTCAAAATTGGATCTTCCTCAGGAAATGTTAGAGTGGTACAAAAATTATCTTGTTCATAAAGTGCTTTACAAGAAGTCATGAAAGATAATACATTCAGATAGCACGCTGATCTCAGTAAACGTTCCGGCTCAAGTATGCTGCTAAGCTTCTAATGGATCCTAGGCGTCTCACTGCTTCTTGCAGTACGTGTAGACCTTCTGTATCACCTCTAGCACAACACTTTTCACTGGGGATATTCCATATATTCAGCATGAGGAACAAAGGTGAGAATAGACTCTACTTCCCCACCTCATGTCATATTGCCTCACTTCTGAGTCATGGTGTTCATGTGGCTGAAATCTCAGAAGGACTGGAGGCAGACAGAATGTAGATTTCCTAGCAGTCTAAGGATAAGTCTTCAGTACCTGCCTAGATCTTTGCCTATCCTCTTGACCCACAGACAGAAATCAATTTATGCAAATATGCAAAAAATATGTCCTCTGTTACTAGCAGTAAGCAGGTTTCCCACTTTCCATTATTTTATTGTTCCAGTATATTGCTGTCCACTGAATTTGCACATCCATCCTTAATTCTGTTTTTACTAGGACAATTTGTGAAATAAATTCCAGGGCTGGATCATGCAATTCATGGTGGCTTTCAGTTCCTTCCATTGTTTAAGACTGCAACAAAGCAGACTTCACACAATCATGTTGCATGAAGAGTCTTTTTGTGTGGTGTTTTACTGATATGCACAAATGTACTGTGCATTGGTAAAACACCATGCAAAAAGAATTTCGATAAAGCCATTTGTGCAATCATCTCAAGGTTAATCTTTTGTAGTGTTTTATCAATATGATTTGCCCTCTGCAATGAGATAGCCTATTCTGACTCCTCCCCCAGAACATATCTAGAAGAAGAAGAGATTGGATTTATACCCCGCCTTTCACTACCTGAAGGAGTCTCAGAGCGTCTTACAATCTCCTTTCCCTTCCCCTCCCCACAACAAACACTCTGTGAGGTAGGTGGGGCTGAGAGAGCTCTTTCGAGGTCTGTTCTTGAGAGAACAGCTCTGAGAGAACTTGTGACTGACCCAAGGTCACACCAGCAGCTGCATGTGGAGAAATGGGGAATCAAACTCAGTTCTCCCACATTAGAGTCCGCGCTCCTAACCACTACACCAAACTGGCTGTGACAAGGAGGCTGCAGTCATAGACGTTGATCTCATTGGGCTGCCATGGAAAATACTCATCGTCTAAGACTTTGTGGGTGGCATTCATGGCAGGGCAGTTGTGCTGTTTGCCTCTTTCTGTTGATTCGAGACAGGTTTTAAAATGGAATGGAAGCCAGTGTGGTGTTAACAGATAGAGTGCTGGGGTCCTGCAAGGAAGACCTGGGTTCAACAAATACCTTCATATCTTTTTCTGACTGTAGCCTTCCTAATCTTGTTAAGATCAAATGGGAAGGATGCTCAGTATGTGTTGCTTTATGCACCCCAGAGGAAGGACACGAGGCCGTAAACGAACTGACTTTCTTGATTTCTTTGTAGATGAAATGGGACTTCTCTGCAATGCTCTCCAGAAGATCTAACGAAGATGCCGTCACCTCTATCAACACTTCTGGTGGCTCTGAGAGCTTTGTGGCAAAAGGATGCATTGAAACAAATATCAGACATTTAGAAGAAAAATCAGGACACCAATCATTAACATTTATGTAGCCAATATTTCATATTATTTTACTGTAATTGCTCTTTGCAATTCATTATAAAGAGACATATGGTAAGTTAAAGGTCTGTAGGCAAGTAATTAAAAGTAAGCTTTGCAGCCTGCTACATGATTACCTATAACACAAGTGTAAGCAACTCATTGCCATAAGCAAGACAATTCCGGGCTCCTGTTGTCAAAGCCGCATACTTTCTAGGTCTTAGGATATGCCGCAGGTAATGCACAAGGATCTCAGTCTTCTATAAGAAATTCTTTCCAGAATATTTAGTAGTAGAGATACAAGACCTTGAAGTCAAGGAGTACCAAGTTCCTTGGAAAATTTAATATTTGATCAAGGGTCCTATTTAGGGGCAGCCAAATCGCTTTCTATCGGCATGATTTAAAAAATAGATTGGTAAATCTATCAGGTAAGAATATTTGTATGGTTATGTTTCCATTCATGCAAAGACTAGCAAGGGGTTCTTTCCTGATGTAGTTTTATCATTGCTATCCTTTTTCACGGGAGTTTTTGAAAAAGGAGAGGTCATATGGGAAATTTAAAATATGTACAAAAATCATAGGAAACAGAAATACCTATGACTGTGATATTTACATCTTGAAACACAATTGCAGACACAATTACAGACAGGAATGGGCAACGTCTTTGGCCTGGGGGAAGTGTAATCCAATTTGACTCTGAGCCACTTTAACTCTCCCCAGCATTTACAAACAGAAGGAAAACAGCACAGAAATTGTAAACATTCATTTCATATTGTAATATATACGAAAACATTTTTTTTAACCTCTGTTAAAATACAATCTGTCAAAAATTCAGTACATATCCAAAGGTCACTTTCACAGACAGAAATTTAAGAAACGGGCACAAATGTTCAGAATCAGTGTATCATAAATAAATAAATCTGCCACTTGCCTGTACTAATAACTGGAAATCTTCAGAAACTGGCCTTTATGTTTTAGTTATAGTTTCAGAAGGTAGCTTTGTTGATCTGCAGTAGAACAGCTAGATTCAAGTCTAGGGACCTGATGGGACCAACACGTTTTTAGGGGTGTAAGCTTTCAAGAGTCAAAGCTCCCTTTGAATATAAAGAATTAACATCTATGGTAAGTAAACAGATGTTGTCATCAACATGTACACCCTTTATTGTCTGAATACAATGAGTAGCATCATGAATAAAGGTGGTAGAATTTTTAACAAAAGGTTCTAAAAAGAATTAACAAATTGAGCTAATGATTCTAAAATAGAATCTGTACCTGAGATTATTGGTCTACCTGGTGATGGAAAACCTTTCTTATGGATCTTCAGAAGAATGTGCAATGCAGGAATCCTGTATATGTCTCTCATATGAAAGGAAGCAGTGGAATTATCAATATACCCTAAAGATATAGCTTCCTGAATTGTGATTTTGATGATAAACTTAAAATCTCAGAAGGAGGATCCTTATTGATAGCTCTATGACCGTCAAAATACCCCAACTGATGATATATCTCATGGAAATAGCCTTCCTTATTTAAAATAACAATAGCACCTCCTTTAGCTGCAGATTTAATGACAATATCCGTGGTTTTGGACCATTGATCCAATGCTAGCTTCTCCGACCGAGAAAGGTTACACCAGCTTCTTTGCTGATTAGTCTCAAATTTTTGTACATCCCTCAATTCCACCTTTTCAGATGTAGGATTTATTTACCCAAGGAATATACCAAGGCTGTGATCACACGCACAATTAGACCCGCCATAGGTGTGAATGCCTGGTGGATTTAAAGGCATAAAGACCACAACATCTGGGAAGCGCCCCACAGCTGTCAGCAACCCATTCTGCTCCGCCGCAGAAGTGGAGTTAAAAGACACCAGGGGAAACCCTGTAGTAAATGGGTTGTGACGGGCCATGGACAGACTTTCCCATGCCTGATCGCTCCAGCGCATTCTCATGGGGTTGGGATGGCTTGGTGTGACCATCCCAACTCCGTGCTGTTGTTCCCCCCCCCCTTCGCAGTATGTGCATCATCACAAACTCCACAGGGAGCCCACAGTGTGGAGGTGCAATTCATCAATCCCTCATTTAAGTGCATGGGGGGGAAACCGCACAAAAAAACCATGACTCATCTGCAGTTGCATCTGATCACACACTGATGGACTACGCCCGCAACTTCAAATTCCTCTAGAAGAAATAGCCTCCCTCCCCCGCATTTTTCTGGCAAGTGTGACCACAACCCAAGATTTAGATTTAAAACATCTATTAATAATATCAGAGGGAGGACCTAAGAACTGTCTTAATCAACCGTGTCAATTTAGACAAATCTGTTCTAGTCTGCAAAGCATTGTATTTGAGAGTAGGAACAAATGATAAACCCTTGTTGAGAAATGAATGACGTCTGTGTTGGACTCAATTCATATGAAGAGAAATTCATGCCTAAATTCTTCTCTTTCTGGGATTTGACCACCCTTGAGTGTTCCTGAGTCTCATGGAATGTTTGGGGAGTGAACCCCGACCCCCCCCAAAAAAATCTCTATTGAAATTGTCTGCCCTTTCCAAATCATCAGAAGGCTCTGCTGTGTCATCACTGTGTTCACTTTCAGGAGGAAAACTGGACATTTCCTGACAATGGGCTTTCTTCTGGTGTAGAGGTTTTTGATTCACCCATGGATATACGTTCTCATTGATGTAATCTAATTCATCTCTTTTAAATTTCTTGACTTTCAATGATTTACCATCCTCATAAAATTGTCTTTTTTTAATTAGTTTTCTTTCATACGTACATATATTATCCATAATTGGATGATTTACATTTGAGTCTGATTTTTAACATTATTATCTATCCATTTGTAAAGTCTCGACCATTTTTCCTGGAAACAGTCTTCTCCTTTTCCCTGAATCAACAGGCTCAATTTGTCCATTTCTGCTAAATTCAACAATTTCAAACTTATTTCTTCCCTAGTCGGAATTTTTTCAGATTTCCAATATGTGGCCAAAAGTATTCTGGCTGCTGTTATTATAAGTATAACTAATCTTGCATCACCATGACTGAGATTTTCTGGTATTATATTTAACAAATATATTTCTGGATTTAACATCAAATATATATTCATCATTTCCCAAATTATTTTCTGTATTTTCTCCCAAAACCGTTGAATTTTTACACATGACCACCACATATGATAAAACGATCCTACATCAGCTTTACACTTCCATCCTCATATTTTTTTCTAATTCATGTGGTTATGTGGTTTCCCCATCTGCTGATATATCCAGCGCACAGTGCTGTTGTGATATATTATTTTCTCTTGAACATTTACTATTGTCTTTGTGCATAGTTTGTAAGACATTACTTCTGCCACACATTATATACATTTTTAACGATTGAAATTCAGCTGCAATTGTGTTTTTTGTATTGGTAAGTTTATGTGGCACAGTTTTTGTTCTAGGTTAGATATAGTTCTTTGCTCTTCTGTATGAGATACAGTCGTTTATCAGAGGTCCTAACCTGGTTGGGGTTTCTTTCGCTTGTTGGTTTTGCTTTGTTAGTAGGACTTCTTCCCATATCTTTTGGTGTTTGCATATCATGGTTAGAGTATCAGGTAAGGTTTGCGGAGACTTGAGTTCAAATCCTCATTTTTCCATAAAGCTTACTGGGCAATCTTAATCAGTCAGTCACTCTCACTCAACCTAGCCTAGCTCACAAGGCAGAGGGAACCATGCTTGTCACTCTGAGCCGTGTGGAGGAAGCTTGGCATTTGAATAAATTGTAATCGAAACAGGTAATGTTCCCACAATATGGCTCCAAAAATGAGTGAGATCTTCTGTGAAAGGGAGAACCTCCTATGCTCACAGAACTCTACCAGGTCCAGCAATGAGGACTCTTGCTGTACAGGATGCTAGGTGATCTGTTCTCTCCCGCTATCCGTGGTATTGTGAAAAAAATGACTCTTCTTCAAACAAGGGAGAATGAGAAGTAAACAACTGCCTCAGAGAATTAGCAAAAACTTGATAAACTTGTCTCCCCTTCAACAAGGCTCACTTACATGTCATTCAACTGGTGATAGAATCCCTCTTGATCCCTTTAGAAGCCCCTAACCCAGTCCTGCAAGCAGAAACAAGTTCCCCTGGGTGCCTAGAAGGGAAGGGAGTTTACCACTTCACTGGTCCTTTCCAGTTGGATGTGTGGCACGAGATTATGGAAATACAAAGATGGCCATAGACAGGCTAGGAAAAATCCAGTGGAGAAATAGAGCCCATTCTTCTTTCAAGCAACGCATTTTGTGGTGCTGAAGGAAAATCATCACCACAAAGAAGGTTTCCAGTAGAAATATGATAGCAGCATCTCCTGAAACGTCATCAATATGCTTTCATAGCAAAGTGAACATGACTTGTTTGGAGTCCCTCAGTTACACTGATCCATTCCATTCCTGATCACTGCACCTCGATGTTCTCTGGGGCAAAGTCTGCTGTGGACAGAGTTACCACCAAGCTAACCAGCTTTGCACCCTTGTCCAGCCACTTGGTCTTAGCACCGGTAGCCGCATTTGCACAGTTCACACTAAATCATCTCCTTTTACACGAGAAGGGGTAGCATCCCCTGGTGTCATGGTTATCTCAGTCCTTAAATTGACATACTTATATAAAACATGGAATTGCTTGCATTTAATATATTCTTTGTGCCTGCAAAGACAGATGCATTCTTTAAATTACTGACAGTGGCTAGATTGTGTTGCCTGCTTTTTACTCTTGCCAGCCAGTGGCATCTGTTTGACAAGTGATCACAAGACCTGTTGCAGAATAAACTAGGTTCATGGGCAGACACCGAAGGCACACAGAAATACTAAACAGAAAGTCTCTATTGAAAAATATCAATGAAGTTATGAAGAACCAGGACATGCGTCCCAGGATAAAAAGGG